TAAGCAAATTTGTTTGCAGAAGTTCTCATGTTGCATTACTTGTATGTTTACTTTTCATTTTATTTCTGACCTAAATCAGAAACAGGAAACGCCAGTCAAAAATAAAATAAAAAAACGATGGGTGATTTTTCATTGGGCAAATTTTTCACACGACCTTTCATGAGAATTTTTACTGAGAATAAGTAAAAATTATTCACGGCGATGCTTTTGCATTTTATTATTTCATTCCCGCATTATTCAGGGTTATAAAAATAAATATAGAAATTTCAACACCAAAATCCAAATCATATGAACAATGAAAAAGGAAATCTGCATGATATTTATTATATTTATATTTATAAATATTTAAATTATAATTTAAATATTTATTTATTCAATTCAGAATTGAGGGGTAATTTGAACACTTCTAAAATATGTATTTTCAGTGAATGAAAAAAATTTAAAAATCTATTTGAAGATTAATTATTTCTACAATAGGTCCGAGAAATCAATAAAAATTTATCAAAAACATGGACTGTAATTTTTATTTTTTAATTTATATATTCATCAAGAAAAATGACTCCCTGGCAACAGTGGCACATGCAGCGTTATTATTATTATTTTTTGTTGATTTGAAAAGAGGTTAAAAGCCTAGACAAAGACAAATGAACGAATCTGGAGGTGAGAAATCCCCCCAGCCTCATTTTGTATTCACAGCTCGGCGTGTCACAAAATTAATTCTGGCGGACCGAAATCAACGCACGCTCGACCTTTCTTTCTCTCTTTCTTTCTTCTTCCACGAAATAACCCTTCCCCGCTGGTTCCACACACAGCCTGCCTCTGCGATAATAAATCAACCCACTAAATCTAATCTCCAGAGCAATAAAATGCAGTCAACTTGAGACTCGCTCTCGGTTTTTTTTTTGCTGCAGCGCCGGCTTCGTCGCCTTAAGAGTTCGAAATTTGCTCTCGTCCTATTTTTGTGCGGGTCAAATGTCAGGTGTGCAAATCAAAAAGAGGATTGCAGAGCAGAGACAGACCGGGATCGCTGCAGCCGGTGGCGTTTATTATCGGCCCGGCAGACTATTTGCCCCTTGGCCATTGCAAATCTATTTTCATCAGAGTCAAAATTAACTCTTTCGCGTACTCGAAGACAAAATAAGAGCCAGATTAATAAAAAAAATTACAAAAAATGTCATTATTTAATTATTTTGTAAAATTTTTTCTTAAATTTTAAATTTTTTGTCACGGTTGGAGTCAAAATAAACAATTAATCAAAATTGGCCAATTTTTTTATTAAATAAAATCGATTTTATTAATAAAAATTGCTTTCTTTCGTAAATACTTGTTTATTTGTGCAATTTTAAATTATTCAAATGTATTTGTGAGCAGATGCCAGACGCATTCCATGCTTTATGTTTCCTTTTAACGCTGCATAGTCTGATGACCGCAGAAAAGAAGTCATATTTAAGCTGATTGAAATATAAAAAGCCGCGGCTACTCTTTTCCCCGGCAATAAATCCACGGTGTACTTTCAGAAAAGGGCTTTCCTTGCCCATCAAAAGCGAAATAATGAGCGGTGGATTCCTCTTTGCCGTGCGATGGATGGCTTTTAAGACGAAAGAGTATGATGCATGGATAATGCGCCGCTTTAACACATTCCACGGGCTTGTTTTATCGCACGCACGTTCACTCCATTTCCACTCCACTCTATGCGGCACGTGGAATTTAAACAGTAAAAAAGTCCAATAAATATGAATATTAATTTTTGTTTATAAATTTTTAAATTTATTTAATTGAAATTAAATTTGATGATGAATTTTGCAAATAAAAATAGAGAACCAGGTGATTTTCCTTTTGAAATTTTAATTATTATTAGATTTTTAAAATTAGAACTTTTTCAACTTTTAAAACAATTTATTCAAATTAATCTGAGCTTTTTGTTCAATACATTTTCTTTTCCATTGTATTCAATTGGCAGGCTGGACGATTAATTATTTTCGCTCACCCAGTCAGCCAGCATCACTCATCGGCATTCATCGAATCTCCACTTCAATATTGAGAGGTGAAACAAAAGTTCATGAATAAAAAAAAATTTAAAAAATGTGGCACGCCGTTTGTGTGTTTGTCCATCGAGTCATTCTTAAATTCGGTTCGATGATGCATTTCTTCTGCTAATATTTGTGTGCCATTTATGTGTGCTTATTATTTTTATTTGAGACCGAAAAGATAATGTGCACGTTGGCGAGTGTGTAAAAACAAACATGATGCCATAACGACTGCGAGAAAGAGAGGATGATGACTTCGGATTCGGCGCTCACCTATTATTATTGTTATTACCAGCAGGGAGAGAAGACGAAGAAAAAGGTGAGGCGGTGGAAAAGAGAGATGTTTTATTATTTTTGGCGGAGCTCGATGAATTTTTTCCATTTGGCCAGATGCGAAAAATTATTCTCTTGCTTGGATTTCAAATCACCGGCGTAATTATAGCAATAATATGGGACGTGGTATTAAAAAATTGTTCAAATTTTGCAAATTATTCCATTAGAGGTGTAATTATTGAGTAATTTCAATATTTAATAATTAGGCGAGTGGCTAATCTGGCAAAAGAATTCACTAAGTATTTAAGATTTATTTATCAATTGAAATTATAATTGTAATTATCCTAAATTAAAAATTTGGAAAAAATTAAAAATTTAAATCTAGATTTTTTTAATTTTATAATTGATTAGTTTCAATTGTTTGATTATCCTTGTAAAATATCTCTCAACAATGGTTCATTGACTTATTTTGACCAATTTTGTTCACAGTAAATTTTTTTAAACTGTGAGGCATTGGCCTTTAAAAAATTCCAGTTGCAGTGAACAATAAGTTCTTTGCCCCTCGGTTGCTTTTGCTTTAATCCCGACAAATAATAAAAGAAGAGAGCTAATGAGCCCCGGTGGTGCTATAACAAAATGAAGCAGCTTTTGTTAGCGTAGATAAGCGCAAAAGTGCGGCCATAAAAATAAATAAAACGAGTATAGAGAGAGTGTTTTAACTCTTCTCTTACCTCAGTCTGCACCTTTTATTTTCCTCGGAAAGAATATCCCACAGGTGAATCATTTCCTGTCACGGCCGCGTCCTTTATTTATGTATTAGTTATTTCTCTCCTCATTACTCGAAAAACAAAAAGACGACTTGTGTGCCGAGTTCTTTTTCAGAGTGCGCGATTTTCCGTCTCATTGTTTGCGCTGCTAGTGCTTTTAAGTGAGTTTGTTTTAACGCGGAGAGTCAACACAGGCGCATAAAAGGTGTGGGCAGAGAGGTTTCTTGAGGCGGATTAAAAAAGTGACCGCTCTTGGCATAAATTGAGCAACATTCCAATATCCTTGAAATTCGGATACAATGAATAAAAAATTTTAAAAAATTGTATTCAACTAGAACAATTTGACGACTCAAAATTCAAATTATTAAAAAATAAACTAGAATTTTAATGGAAATTATTATTTTTTTAATTGTATTATTAAAATAAGTTAAATTTTTTTAAATTGAAGTTCTACAGAGAATTGTAATTTTCAGCACAAATTTTGTTCTAATAATTACAAAGATTTTTGTAAAAATTTAACCAAACATTTTTTTACTTTAAATTTTAAAACGGAGATCTCATTGGTGGAAATTCTCAAACATTCAGACTTGAAAATGATTGGTTTTGCCGACCCCTGCCATTTGCTTTCCAATTAAAATTCCTCCAGGCTCCTCCACCTTGCAAAGGTCGCGCACCAGTTTCGCACTCAATACGAAACAATAACAATCGGGCGGCGAACGAAATAATGCGAAAAAATTGCTCATCATTCTCACCTTTAGCGGCCGGCGAAAAAAATCCCATGCGCGATTCAATTCTTCTTCTTCTCCAGAGGATGAAAAAGCAAAGAAAGAAGAAGACGGGCAAAAAAAAAAACGGCACAATGGATTGGAATAAAAAAAAGTATCAAGGTCACTGCGGCGGGCTTTTGACTTTTCCGGGCGAAGAAAAAGTTCAAAGGTCACTTTGGGGGCACCGAACTGGCGCGTCCTGGCGAAGGGCCCTTTCTGTCTTGGGGGGCCGCCGGGGTCCGTTGGCGGAGAGGGAGACACGAGAGGACACTCCTTTCCCCTCCGAGTGCTTCGCACCGACTGCCTGTGCCTGCCCGAGCGAGCAAGAAATTCAAATGCGAAGGTGCGAGGTTGGCGAATCGCCCGTCGGCGGCGCCACCGCCTCACCTGCCGCCCTTTGCCCATTTCCCTGCTGCCGGCAAGGTTGCCCGAGGCAGGGTAGTGCCTGCCAAAGGGCAGCAAAGTCTCGTGCGATTTTTATATTGTTTCGCTCGTGGGAATCTTCTCGCATCGATGCGCCCGCGCCAATCTGTTATTCCCGCGGATGTGCGCGCACTTTTGTCTTCCTTTGCAGGCGAAAATAATTTTTTTGCACCGCTGGGTGCCTCGGCAGTTAAAAAATTCCTTCCAACACTTTTTGATTTAAATTTAAGCATTAAAAAAAAAATGAATTGAACAGAAAAAACAATTCTTGCACATTAACTAGTTTAATTTATAAGGCATTTTCCCCTGATATAATTGTTTTATTTTTTTAATACACTGATAAATTAAATTTGACAAATAAATTAATTTCGTTCTGATTCCAAATATGAATGACTAAAAACAACTTTTTTTATCCCTCTCACGAAAAAAGTATGAAAAATATGAGAATTTTTTAAAACTATTTTGTATTTTACAGTGATTTTATCTTTTGTAAGATTTAAATTTAGATAGAAACTTCAAGCATTTTATGATATATATTTTATTGACTTTTGTAGCGAAATCTATTCTTTAGAAATCAGAGCGTGCCTAACATAAATTTATCAGTTTTTCCACTTTTTCCATATCACAGCAGATAATTTAATTTTGTTCATAATTATTATATTTTTTTCTCTATTTTATGAAGGGAATGAAGCATGAAGCAATTTTTTACAATAAAAAGTAGTTTTATCACACCCATTGTTATTAAATATTTTATACAATTTAAAAAATTATAAAATATGGCAAACCAAATCTTTTGGATCGGAGCGAATGTACATTTGATACGTTAAAATTTGCAGTCAATCGACTTCCCATTTGTGATAAAAAAAATATGCTAAATTATAATTCAAAGGCTGTGGAAATGACGCCAGTCAGAATTATGTGTGCAAATAAGTTTATTTGTACACAAACATATATGTGCGTGATTATTTTTATAAATTTACTCAACATAAAATTCACCTACAGGAACACGCATTATGTAATACAATTTTTTTTGTATTGTTCCAAATTTGGAATTGAGTTTTGAAAAAAAAAATCCAAAATTTTTATGATTTATAAAAATAACATAATTATGATGTTCCTTCCATTTCTATATTGAACAAAAAATTAAGAAAAACTTTAACCAATTTTTGGCGGTGTTGATATTATACTTTATTAATCAATTGCTCACTTCATCTTCGGTTATGAAAGTTACTGTTTTAACCACTTATTTTGACTGTGGAGTTAAAATAAGGTCCAGTTTGCTTCTTGGGCCATAGTTTTTGTGAAAGATTTGTAGACGCCCAGCGAAACGGTATGCCCGTCAGACATAAACGCGCCCCAAAACCCGAAAGTGCCGTAGTCGACGATGGTGTGGTCGCGCATGCAGAGAAGGGCCAAATCGTGAGCAGGGCTACTGTTGGTCACCACCTTGACATCCTCAAAATGAAGGTTCTCTTCGCACCAACTGACGTCATCACTGACGACCAGAAATAGAATCGGACCTTTTACATTTTCGCGGTACCACTTCATTGCATTCTAAAATTAAATTTAATGAAAAAATATTAAAATATTATTTTTAATTGATACTTTGAAGAAAACATCATCAACCAGGGTGGTCTTCAAATAAAGGGGCAGGAATTCCTTGAAGTCGGTCCTTCGGACGTGAACCCCGACTAGAGTTTTTCCCTCACCGATTTTCGCAAAGGTCTCGTTGACCTGACGCACAATCTCCGGCTTGAAAGTGAATTCCAGTTTCAGCAGGTCTCGGTACATCAGGGCCGGCTCCAGGAACATTTCGTACCTGTGCAGGAGCATGTTGCGACCCTGGAAGCGAGACCTGGTTTCGGTCAAGGGCAAGATGCCGAGGGCGCTAATCGACTTATTGTAGTCGAGTTGCAGGTCGCAGTGCCCGATCTCCTCCAGGGTGGGCAGACTCAGGTTGCCGAAGGTGCGACTCAGGGTGGTCTTAAGGGAGCGAGGGACAAAGCCAGGGCGGCCCATTAATCTGGCGACGCTCCACACGGCCGCATACTCCCAGATTTTGTTTCCGAGCCGACCGCCGTCCTCGATGGTTACTATTGGCGTCTCAGGACAGGGATAAAGGCCACCCTGGATGGCTTTGTCTATGCATTGCAGTCATTAATTTTAAGATTGAAAGAAAAAAAAAGATTGTAAGTTAGGATGTTGGATGACACCAAAAATTGAAACTAGGCATTTTTGCTGTTCTGTTTTGATTAAATTTTCAAAAATTATATTTAATATAATGTGGACAAATGAGGTATTTTAATGCATGATAATTCATCTTAATTTTGTTTTTCCTCAGGTTATTAAATTAAATATGTCCATGGACTCCATGGTGAGAAAACTTGCAAAAAATAATAATGATTTTAAGAAAACAATTTGTTATATAAGATTGAATTTAAGTAATTTTTAAATAATTGCAAAGAACAAAGTATATTTCTTGCTTAAAATGTAGTTTACCAATTATTTATGTGATATTTGTAATAATTTTTTAAAAACAATATTAGTCCCTGCTTTGAATTTTAAATTTTGTAATCTTATAAATTTTAGTATTCCCAGAGGAAATTTTAAATAAAGTCTTACCTTTTGGCAGGAAAAAAGTGGTAGTATAGTTCATAAGGTAAAAGTTGCTGGCGACCAGCAAAATCACACTAGTAATGACTATTGCAAAAACTTTTCCTGTCATTTCTGAAAAGTGTTAATGAAGTTAGCTGCAACTTCACATATTTGTCATATCTGTCGATGCACGTTCGAGTGACGCCGCTCGTTTGAGTGAAATTATTGTATTGCACAATGCACAATTGCACGTTCAAGCTTTCAAGCGTTGAAACAATCAATTCAGTTCACTGCAAGTCCATAATTTTCAATATATGAACGTTAATAGGATTTAAATATTCTTCTGTATCAATTACTATGAAAATTACATGTTTCTAACCTTTTCACACGACTTTTTCAAAATATGCAAAAATAATATATTTTTGTATCACAGAAAAATATACTCTTGTCACTTCTAGTGTGAAGTGCGAAACCGTGAACTTGATGTACGAAACACATCTGACATTTGACAAGAGAATAAACGCGTGACATCTCTTTCATTGAGAAGTCAGTTATTTGATAAAAGAAATTATACTCATATGACTTTTTCTCAATAAAACTCAGGCGTACTGTTGTTAATGCCAAATCAGAGCTGTCGTAATTTTTAAAACAAAAATGATATTTAAGTATCTCTCCAATTTAATTTTATTTGACTTACAATTAAATAGAATTAGATAAGATTCGCTACAAAGTTTTAAAAATGATTAAAATTAAAAAAAAAAATCATGAGATTGAGGAAGTTGGCTGTGGATTAGAATCATCTCTGACAGACAAAGATCTGCAAAAGTGAACGTTTGTGTTTCTAAAATATAATTAATTGAAAAAATTAATAACTCAAAATTTTCAATTTAATTTTTCTTAAAATGAAAAGAGTGATCAAGGAAATGGCTTGGTTGTAAAATTCCTGAAATGCTGATTGTCCGGCTCTTGAACTGTAAAACTGCTCCTTGATTGTTTGCATTTTTGTGTCCGCGCGCAGTTTGTACAAACAACCTCCCGTTTTTGATTTCTCGGTAAAAATGCCGAGGTGTGTATGAAACAAGTAGTGGAAAAACTCGTCGTCGCCGAAGAGCTGCCTTGAGAGCAATCTCGAAAATAATTCCGAGTTAATGAACCGAAATTAAAATCAACCTTGCTTGTTCTGAGCGGGGAGAGAAAAAATTACTCCGGCGGTCGAGTTTTTCGTCTCTCTTCTTTTTGCCCAATGGTTCATAGTAAATTACTATCAACAAATTATTATTAATTGCGCGCGCCACTGCTCGATCCGAATGAATTCGATTTTAATTATATTTGCGGCTCCTCCAAAGCAGTAACTTCTGCGAATCGCCAGCTTTAATTGAGCGACCGCACAAAAGTGATAAGGCGAACGAAATAATAAATGAGCTGACGATTAATTAGCTTAATTGCCCGAGAGAAACGAAAAGGAGTAACCAAAGAAAGATTGCTTCGATTTGAGTTCAATTAAACAAATAGTTATTTAAAATAAAAGCTGATTAAGAGACAAAAAAATCGATTGGTTTTATTGACCTTGCAAAAGTTCATTGACTTATTTAAATAATTTGTATTGAAACTTGAAACAGATGTTTTTAAATTTTAAGTTTGTAATTTTTCTTCTACATTTTTGTTGTAAAGACATGGAATTATTCAAAAATTAAAATTAATTTAATTTTAAAAACCTTTTCTTTAAATTTCTGATTGATATGAGTTTTGAAAAATGGCTCCTTTAAAAAGAAGCTTTTTGAAATGAGAATTGTAAAGAAAAATGAGTGTTTATTTTTACAAATTCAACATTATTTTCTAAGCGACTTGAACGCACGATTTTCCTCTGCATTGTTGTCTTTGAACTCTGTGGTTAGAAAACGTAACTTTCGACGGGTCAAATTCCTGCCTGGTTATGAAAATATGCGTGTTATCTCTTTATGGAAGTGATATTATGAGAGTTTCGTCGCTCACACAAAAGTGTCGCGTTTCACGATTCCAAGAGTTTTGTTTCCGCTGCCGAGGAGCGCGCGCGCCAACCAGAGCCCGAAAAACGAAAAGCATTATTTATTTATTTTATACCTTTGTGAATTCAAGCGAGCAGAGAGATGGAATCGTGAAGTCGTGTCTGCCTTAGAGTGTGTGTGGGTGCCTTAGCATTTGAACTCGAATCGCCGGTCAGGATCGTCCGACGAGTCTCGCCCGCCGACGACCTTTCTTTCCCGTTCCTTCTTTGCATGCGAGAGACAGAGATGCTCACTCTTGAAAGACGATACCTTTTACACAACCGCACTCGCTCATTTTTTTTCTACACGAATTCACGCAACTTTGGAAGTGTATCGGGTTATAGGAAGAAATAAATAAATATGCACAAACATGTGAAAGTTTTTAATTTCTGACAAGGGAACATATTTTAGGTGACTGACTGCGATTTTGATCAAATTTGGCATGTCAATTAGGATCCTGAAGTAGAGTCCAGAATTAAATTATGAGCTGCTGAAATGCATTTTTCACCCCCCAAAAGAAGGTTTAAAGTTTGCCATTAAAATAGATGATGACATTACTTATTATCTCAAATTTGGTACCAAATTGTGGTACCACAGTGTGGGAGCAAATTGTGGTACCACAGTGTGGGAGCAAATTGTGGTACCACAGTGTGGAAGCAAATTGTGGTACCACAGTGTTGTAGCAAATTGTGGTACCACAGTGTTGTAGCAAATTGTGTTACCACAGTGTGGGAGCAAATTGTGGTACCACAGTGTTGTAGCAAATTGTGGTACCACAGTGTGGTAGCAAATTGTGGTACCACAGTGTGGTAGCAAATTGTGGTACCACAGTGTGGGAGCAAATTGTGGTACCACAGTGTGGTAGCAAATTGTGGTACCACAGTGTGGTAGCAAATTGTGGTACCACAGTGTGGTAGCAAATTGTGGTACCACAGTGTTGTAGCAAATTGTGGTACCACAGTGTTGTAGCAAATTGTGGTACCACAGTGTGGTAGCAAATTGTGGTACCACAGTGTGGTAGCAAATTGTGGTACCACAGTGTGGTAGCAAATTGTGGTACCACAGTGTGGTAGCAAATTGTGGTACCACAGTGTGGGAGCAAATTGTGGTACCACAGTGTGGGAGCAAATTGTGGTACCACAGTGTGGTAGCAAATTGTGGTACCACAGTGTGGTAGCAAATTGTGGTACCACAGTGTGGTAGCAAATTGTGGTACCACAGTGTGGTAGCAAATTGTGGTACCACAGTGTGGTAGCAAATTGTGGTACCACAGTGTGGTAGCAAATTGTGGTACCACAGTGTGGTAGCAAATTGTGGTACCACAGTGTGGTAGCAAATTGTGGTACCACAGTGTGGTAGCAAATTGTGGTACCACAGTGTGGGAGCAAATTGTGGTACCACAGTGTGGGAGCAAATTGTGGTACCACAGTGTGGGAGCAAATTGTGGTACCACAGTGTGGGAGCAAATTGTGGTACCACAGTGTGGGAGCAAATTGTGGTACCACAGTGTGGGAGCTAATTGTGGTACCACAGTGTGGTAGCAAATTGTGGTACCACAGTGTGGGAGCAAATTGTGGTACCACATTGTGGGAGAAAATTGTGGTACCACAGTGTTGGAGCAAATTGTGGTAACACAGTGTGGGAGCAAATTGTGGTACCACAGTGTGGTAGCAAATTGTGGTACCAAAATGAGTTTGAGTTTGCCTTTAGAATAGATGATCAAATTATTTATTATCTCAAATTTGGTACCACAATGTGGTTTTTTTACCCCTACAGAAGGGTTAAGTTTGTCATTAATATAGATGATGAAATTATTTATTATCTATTTTAATGGCAAACTCTAACCCTTCTGTAGGGGTGAAAAATGCATTTCAGCAGCTAATAATTTATATCTGGACTCTGCTAGAGAATCCTAATCGACATTCCATATTTGATCAAAATCGCAGTTATATGCACCTAAAAATGTTCCCTTGTGAGTATAGTTTCAAATTTCATTCAAGTTTTCGAAAAGGAACAAAATTATTTTTTAATATTTTTTTTAAGGTTCATGAGAAGTTTGCTGAAAAATTAATTAATTTTCAAACGAAATTAATTTAATAATTATTGAAGTATATTTTATTGAAGATGAATTAATTTTGCCGGAAAATTATATTAATGAAAGTTCAGCATATTTTGTTATTATTATTATTGTTGTATATATTTAATATTTTTGCACACTTTCAAATTTTCTGTTGCCTCAACTGTTGTTCAAATTTAGATAAACGATCGGCCTCAGCTCGCTTGACAGTCTTTATTTCATTCTTTATCTCGCAGCCATTAGTCACAGACTCCACATAAAATCTGCAACCGATTGTCCTCTCGTTTTTCTTTCTTTTGATTTTTTTTGTCGCTCGCATTAAGCGATAATTGACCGGAAAGAAATGCCGCGCGAAATTGCGTTAACGGCTGTGTTTGTTTGCTTTCATTGTCCCTTGTTTTCCTCTGTATGGCTCGACCCAATATATCCGCCCTGATTCAGGTCGATACGTCAATATTGAAAAATGATGTAAAAATGTGTAGGGAGTTATTGTTTGCAATTTCAGCGGCCTTGGTTCGCTTTTAAAGCAACAACAAACAATAAAGCTTGTTTTTCCTTGACTTAAATTCGGTTTCAAATATTGGCTCTCGAAGAGTTCAGTTTCAATTGGAAATGAAAATAAGAATTTCCATCTCTAATTTTTTTCCAATTAAATTACAATTCTAAGGCATATTAAAATATTTATTATTATGATTATTATGTTATAAAATAAATAAACTTTCATTTAACAAAATCAAAAAATTTTACAAAGCGACAGACAAGATGCCGGCATTATTTTTCATATTCCTCCCTTGGGGTCTCTAATGCACATTTTCTGTCAGCAATTACATGCATGAATTATTGAAACCATATGTGCATAATGTTTAATGCATGTACTCGCAGCAAACGAGCGTGCATGTATATTTATTTTCCACTTCTCTCGTGGCGAGTTATGCGCCATTAATAATTAATCGAGCTTCTCTTCTCGCAGGCAGGCGTCGCCGAACGAGTGAGAGAGAAAGATGGTGCGTTATTTCTCCTAATCTCGGCTGCATCTCTAATGGACTTTCAGTGTTAATCCCCGAGCGTAATGAAATTCCATTCAAATTTCCACACAGCCCCGAGGAGAAAGCAAGCAAGAAGCATCTCTGCAGCGCGCCGAGCATACGGACCCGTCCGGAAAATATAATATAGGCCTCCACTTTCTCAAAAAAATGTTCTTTGATCAGTTTCAAAAAAGTCTATTCAAATTAGAGCAAATTAAATTTTTTCAAACACAATTGGATCTTCTTTAAATTTCTACTAAAATAAATTTAGTACAAAAAAATCAGGAAATAATCTTTAAATTTTTAAGCATAAATTATTAATTTTTTTTTGTAATGATTTTTCATCGCATTCCTGCTGAGGTCGTGATGTGCTTTTAAAATTGGTGGGCACAGAATTTGCGAGCTGGGCCGGCCCTCACGACGGCCCTGGTCATATTGCGCCGATCAATAATAATGATGCAAAGCAACAATTAATGCTCGTGGCCGGGTTGACGCGTGACTAGATCATCATCCGATGGGAGATAAACGCTCTCCTTTATGCTGTTCCAGTTTCGGATTCGCACGACTTCGATCGCAGATATTGATTGCGCCTCGAAAAGAATCCGTAAAGCAAACTCGCGGCGAGGGATGGATCGGAGGAGAGCAAATTATCTCGGTACAGCTACGGCCATTATCGTGAAAAGGAAAATACAATATATAATAATCCCTCCTCCGATTGTAATAATGAACGTATTCGGGCCCGATCGTGCGAATGGGAAGTACAGTTCGTTTGTTGCTAATTAAAGGTTTCGATATGCCACACTTCTTTTGAAAGGGCTCGCCAGGCTCGACCTTCCTTGCAAATGCATGTGTTCAATTCAGTCTGAATTTTTATAAAATTACTTCGTGATAAGAAAATAAACTTTAATTTTTGCTTAGTTTAAAATGAAATAAATATTTGAATAATTATCAATTATTTTATGGATTTAAATTAAAGGTAAAATTTGTGTACTCACATTGCGTTCGAAGATGATTTCTCCACCTTCTCGTTGAAACTGTAGCGTCGCCTGTCTTTGTTCTTGGACCGTTTCCTCAACCCTTTACCCTCGCTGTGGTAAACAGGGTTGGCCCGGTTCAGGCCCTCATCGGTGCCATTCGAGCTGGTTGTTGAGTTGTTGGCGCCGCTCGAGTGGTTGCTGCTGCCGAGGCCACGCAGCCACCGACCCAGAGGATTGGACGAGGCTGCAGGCGGAGGCGTCGATTCAGAACTGTCAACATAAAATTAATCAAAATTTGCATTAAATTCTCACATTTGTCGCATTAATTCATTTTTTCAATTTTAATCAGTTTTGTCCTTGTGATGCCTTTCAATTAATTTATTTCTTAAATTATTTTTTTTTAAATAAGTCAAAAGTAAATAAAGAGGCCAATAAATTTGTAATTTAATTAATTTTCACAATTTTATGTGTTTTTCTCCGACATTTTATTGTGTTTTAATGCAAAATCGACCTACTTGTGTGTTTGTTAATGTTAAGTTTAATTTGCAATCTGTTTCCAAGTTGCAATAAGCAATTACTCGCACATTAAAAAACCCCACGTAAATATTTTTATCACCCGAGCATCTCCTGCACTGCAGACGTGACTCGGGCGTTAAAACGCATACATATAATATAATCCAATAATAAAAAGATACGTTCGTCTGAAAATTTACGACCGCCGAGATATCAATCAAGCGGAAAACGCGCGTTTTCGAATCTTGGCAATCTGCTGCGAGATAAAGCTAATTAGCATAAAATTTATAATCCAACTTGACGTCAAAACTCATGCAGTTGATTCAAGTGCATAATTTATACGACTGAAGAACGTATCATTCGCCACAATTAGTGCAATTTTATGCTTGACACTCGAGGATGTTGCTAGGTAATCTAGGCTGCGAGTAAAAACAGCTGCGATTTATTTCAGAGAGAGTAATTTTATACTTCTTCAGGGATTAATACTTTGTCTGAGCGAAATGCAAGGGGAGCGTCAAATTTTCAGCGAGAGGTGTAATTTTGGTCGTTTTGGGGACAGAAAATTTACTCCTGCGAACATGAGACGTTGTATTGGGTGACAAAGAAAAAGACCACCTACGGGTGAGACGTTTTACTTGAGAAAATTGAAGTCAAGCAAGTAAATTAAATAAAAATTAATATACTATAAATAGCTTTATAGTTTTAGTAAAAAATAAATTTTTCAAAATTTTGTTTAACAATTTAAATTTAAAGTTAAAATTATAATATATATTTAATTTTTTTCTACAAGATTGTTCATGGATGAGTGATTTTTTAATTTAATCAACATTAGTTTTGGTTGAAAGAATTTAATTGAAATTAATAAGGTGATTTTAGATCATTTTAAAACCTAGATTTAAATTTTAATTAATGCTAATTTTACTAATTATTAAAGGACAGTTGAAATGCAAGTTTAAAAATGATAATTACAAACAAGAATTTTTAACTCTTGCAAAGGATTTTTGCAATTTTATTGCTCGAAATTATTGAAAAATGCTTAAAAAAGGAACAAAAGATTATTGAGAAAGTAAAATAATGTTGATTAGAATTTTCTTCGGCCAATCGTGTACATGCAATCGTGGACCACCCTTTAGCGAGTCGTTGTCACGCCGAGAAACAATATCCTTTTTCTCTGCTGGCTGCTTTTGTTGTCATTTGCATTTAGTGCATTCCAGGTCGCGCGCGAGCAGAGTGCATTCCTCGCGATAAATCAAATGCACTTTACATTTGTCCAGCGGCCAAAGTCCCTTTTCTAGCGGAAGCTGCGCATTCTTTTTCACACTCACTCGCATAAAGAATGAAACGCGATAATCTGCAGCATTTGATTCGCTGCTCGAAAACGCGCCCGACCGTTAAATATCACAAGAAAGGAGATAAATACAAATAATTGTGAATGCAGCAGCTTCACACTTTGGGTGGCATTCAGATGATAATCGCATCTCTCTGGTGAAAAATCCACGAGACAAACGTCATGGTTGGTGAACGGTAAAAAATATATATTTCACGCCGCGCGCGGATCAAAATTCCAGCAACAATAAAATTCGTTTTACGCGCGAAAGGAGCAAAACGAGACATTTCACAATTCTTAACTCGCCTTTGTTTTTCCATCAAGTGGCGCCAGACGAAGGAATGCGCCGAGATTAAATACAAAAAGATGCTTTGGATATATTTGCGGGCGAATAAGAGGTGACCCCGAAGGTCAGACAATCAAAACATGGGCGCTGGTTCAAAATTGAAAAATCGGTGTCCTTAAAGGCTTACGAATTCTTCCGTTTTCCTCTTTTGTTTGAAGATCAAAGGATTATGCAAACCGTTTGAATTTTGATAATCAGCTTTCAGAAAATTTCAATAAATTTAACCAGTGTTTTATCCTCGTTGAATTTATACTTTTATTCAAGAATGTGATATAAAAAAAGGTTAAGTGCACAAAATTAAAAAAAAATCACTTCTTAAACAGAAATATTTAGAGGCCTTCAACATTTTTAAATTTCCAAGTTTTTTATGATAGTTGAAATAATTTTTAATAAGCATCTTATTGACAACTCATTTTCTTAACACTTTTGGTGTGAAATTTTTATGAACAATAATTTTAAATTCACTGTAAAAATAAACAAACTACAAAAAAAAATCACATTTCTTCAACTAAAAATCTGAAAAAATTGCAATTTGAAATAAATTTTATAAATTTTTATATTTTACAACAATTTCGATGAAATTTGGCAGTTTCACCACCATTAACAAAATAACATTTTATTTCTTTCGAGCCCAATCGGAATAAAATTATTTTCAGCCGTTTCAGTTTTGCGAGTGAGTTGCAAAGCGAGTTTGAATTTGGTGCGCCTTGGGGCGAGTTTGGCATCGCTGGACGTTTTTCTTTCTTTTTTCTCATTCAAGGAGCGCCGCTGATTGTAATTCAAGAGGTAAAAATGCGCCCGCGTTTTTCCAGCAGCATCAGATCGCCGCGAATGATTAATAACGCTGCGTGGTGCGCTTCTTGTTCCAGCGGTACAATTACAAGCAAGGCCACGCCATATTGTAATTATTCTTGAATGCAAATCGGCCGACGTCTCCCTTTTTGTCTTTCCTTTTTGCAGCAGCAGCAGCGCAGGAAAGGCAGAAAAGACAAAAGCTCTCTCTCGGCGGCGATTCAGACTTCAGACGCTCCATGCAAAGTGGTTTTCCTTCAAGTCGCGCAAAATAATTCGATTCCTGGCCCGTTCGACTCCCAAGTCTGTGGAAAATTATTTCCAGAGAGACTGAAAAAGTTAACACAATGAATAATGATTCATTTAATTGGTGTTAAAGTAAAAAAAAGAGGCGACTTAAAAGGCTCAATTTTAGTTCCGAAAGTCCTTCAGGTCTTCTTTTATCAAGTTAATTTTTCAAATTGTGTGAAAAAAAAATTGGAAAACTTTAAAAATCTTAAAACCATTTTTGTTACAAAACTTAATTTTTATAAGTTATATCAAAATTAGATTTTTAATTAAAAATATACAAAATAAATATTTGTTTCAAGTTTGTGATGCAATTTTGACTAATTGTAAATATTGTAGAACAATGAACATAAAATCGGAAAAAAAACTTGAAAAGTCATTTTATTTTATTTTTATCAAATCTTTGCATCATTGGGGGTTAATTTAAACCAAGTGAAGCCCTCATGGAAACTGACATTAAAAAAATTTAAAATTATTGGTGATTGACCCCTAAAAAAATCCGCTTATTGAAAATGAAAACCAGCTCGGAGAATAAATACCGGTTGCGCGTCGATTGTAATTTTTGATTTCCATCAGATTTGTATCTGTGCTGCGGCAAACGTTTTCGATTTTAATCTGCTGGACCAAACAAAGGCTCTCCTCTTACACAAAATTGGCCCAAAGTTGTTGTTTGGAAAGCACCAGTCGTTGGGCTAATTATGGTAATTACGGGGCCGGGTTGCTGATGATTTCATTCCGATACCGCCGCGCAGTTCTTCCTTTGCAGAGACCGACCTTCGAAAACTAGTCGTCGGTCTAGAGCAGAAATTGATATTTCGGGCAACACCACATATACGCACATTATAAAAGCTAAACACGATCATAATAATATGACGAACCGGCGCGATGGTGTTTATTTTGTGGCGCAGCGCTTTTTATTTTGTGTAAAACGAGCGGAGTTGATCGAGTTACGAGAGGCAAAACCATAAAAATTGCTGGTTTTATTTTTTATACTTTTTTCGCGTTAATTCTCTTTACTTTACAGGCTTGTAAACCGCGAGAGATAGATGAAGTAACGTTCGCTGCTCCTCTCAAGAAGGCATGCACGATTTTAACGCTTTTATGGCGGTGCGATTTTCAAAGTGATTATTTTTAGAAAATGGCAATATTCTTTACCAGTGATTAACTAAAAAATGATTACTTGAAGAGCTTCAAAAGAAATAAGCTCATGCAAAGCGATGAATTTTAGACGAAGAAAAGTGAAGCTAGAAGGGAAAATGCAAATTTTTAAGATTTTATTATGCTTTTTATTAAAAAATATTTTAATTCTCCAAATTATTGTTAGTGTGCGTGTGTGTTTCTATTCTAATTACTATAGTGTTTTGTTTGTGGTGTAAAATGTAAAGCAGTAGTTTCCAGGTTTAATTTAAAAAATTTATAATCATTGAAAAATTAATTTCCTAGTTATAGTAAAAAATTACAAATTCATGGAAATGTTGCAAGTTGGAAATAAAAACTTCTTTATAGGGTGTCTCCATTGTTAAAAAAAAAAACAGATTTCATAACTTTTACGAATTTATATTTTGGAGAAATATTAGATGAAAAATGAGAACTAATGGAAATAATTGAATCGATTGGTTTCGTTTATAATCATTTTTGTAGTCATTTGTAGTGAATAAATTTCATGATTTAATATTTTGCACTAAATGATAAATTCCAATTTTGAAAAGTGACTTTAATTAATAAAATAATCTGCCAAATTGTAAATAACAAATAAAGCAAAATCTATTTCCAGATCTGATATTTTTTTGACATGATCACTTATTTCTTGTCTGTCAAAAAATGACCGTCATTCGGCGTGTGTTCGAGGAAATCAAGAATTTTGTCAAACAACGATGACATGAACGAAAACCAGTTAGTGACTGGAAACACATCACGACTGCTCGCATTGGCACAAGAGGTATAAAAACGTTTCCTGCGAGCACATCTGTCGCCGAATCGGCGCAAAAAGAGCGAAGAATGAAA